TCCAACGACTGAAGTCGTGGGGGTGGAATCTACTCCAACAACCGAAGTCTTAGGGGTAGAATCTACTCCAACGACCGAAGTCTTAGGAGTGAAATCCTTTTCATTGACTGAATTTTGCCCCCCTAAAATAAAAAAAATTCTGAGAAAAGGGAGAGTCTTCTGGCCCCTTTCCCTCTGTGCACTGCTAGTCTTAAGTGCACTAGTAGTTACCAAGAAGGGACACCTTTCTCCTTCCTCCAGGTGAACATCCCACAGCATTAAAAATTTTTATTGTCTGTTGTATTATTTTTTAACAATAAAAGGTATGTTTTTTATTACTTTTATTTTACCACTGCATGTCTACACATATTTTGTTTGCTTACAATAATCTAATCTCTTCCCGATAGTTTCCAATGCTCCCCCTTATCTCCTCTTTAATTCCCTCTCTGATCTCCCTCAAACTTTGCCTACAACTATCACGGGTGCCACAGCTCTTCAGATGTTGTCACACATTTTGTCACATAGAGCTTATAATAAGTTTTCCTGGTGTCGTTCACAGTCACATAACCATATATCATATCTCATATTTTATATAACATAAAATGTATTCCTGCCCATTACAGTCACGCCATTTCTCTCAATAAATGCATATAAAACGTGTGCACATTAAATAAAGTGTAAGAGTACCTTTATTATAACGAAGAGGAGAACCAGGGAAAACACAAACATCTTGACTAAGTTGGGTTTCTTTAATCACTAACATTTCGGAAAATCATTTTCCATCATCAGTCTAGAAAGCAAACAAAAATTTTAAAACGTTTTAAAAAATTACAGGTGATGTACAATAAAAACGCAATATTATTCCAAATTACTAGAAAAATCAAAATTTCCAACGGAACACTATGGAAGAAAAGTGTCTTAGAATTGTCTAAACTGCTGATTCCAATAGATAATTTCCTAAGCTTCTACGGATGACCGAAATGATGATAATACACCACCTAAGGAATTACTTACATTGTAAATATGATGAGCCAAAGTCAATAAGAGTTTTGAACTATAATATGATTGTGGCATACATACAATATTTCTCTATAATAAGTGTATGTCTGTGTAACAGCATAAGTGCTTAAGATTCTTGCACCTGACATCATTAGCGTTTAAGATTCTTGTGCGTGACAGCATTAGTGTTTAAAAGAATATGCATGAGAGCATGTGTGTTTAAGAGTATGTGCAAGACAGGATGCATGTTTAAGACTGCGTGTGACAGCATTAGTGAGAGTATACTGTATGTGTCACAGCAAGAATGTTTATTAGAAATGTATGTGCCTGACAGATGAGTGTTCAAGAATTTTTGCGTGACCGCAAGAGTGTTTCATCGTATGTGTGCAACAACAACAGTGTGGCCGTTTAAGTGGTTAATAACATGTGTGTGTGAAAGCATGAGTGTGTGAATGTATGTTTACGTAATTGTTTAAGTGTTAAACATCTTCTTTACCGCGCACTCGTCCCAATGAAAACAACTTATCCCCCTCATACCGTTCCCCGCCCCCCTCCCCTAGACTGCACAGTGCAAGGGGGGTGGGTGTTACAATTATCCATGCACCCACACAGTTTATCCAGTGTTAATTATTTATACGTCTACGATCGCATAAGCCCAACCAAATGTACTTTCACTGGTAAAAATATAGAAATGTCTTTTTTGTGTGCTCCATCTATACTGTATACTGTACAGTAGTAAACTAAAAGTGAACATTTTTGTTTCGGTCATCCCTGTATATCCAAACTAACCTAACCTAACTTAATGTAACCTAACCGATTCACCGGATGACTGAATCTAACATAATACCAATTAAAATGTTCATACCTGGGAAATGGATAAATACATACGTGTGAACTTCATAATATACACACAGTAATGTTATGTTTATTTTCCCTGTGAGTATTATTTACCTTGTGAGTGATGTCGAGTTCTTGCAAACAAATGTTTGGTCTTTTATCCGCCTGCAAATTGATCTGATATGAACGAGAAACGAGGAGTGGAGGTGTAGGAGGTGGAGAGGGAGGTGGTGAACCACCGCTGGCCGATAGTTTAGCAGAGGGGCTGCCACTACTGCGAACATTAATGCAGTATCTATCTCTTCAGACCACAATCACTGTCACAATCTTCTAAAGATTCATCTGAAAGATTATCATCAATTTATGAGTACTTTTCAAGCTCATCTTTACTATCATAGAAGTCTAATGACGCCATGACTACAGAGGATAAAGTATATCCCACCCACACAAAGCACAATAGAATACTGGCCACCAGGCCAACAGCATGACATGATGACATCAGCTACTTGGTCAAAAAATTTATCTGAGCAAGGAAGATATATATAGAGGAAATAGTACGACATTCAATTAACATTCAGTCCCTGACTGCTGCGCCATCTCTCGAGAAGCTCCTTTTTAATAGAAAACGTATATGGTGCTTTTAGAAAACGAATTTATATTTACCATTAATATTTACGGCATCAAGCTTCCTCATCATAGAAAATGTATAGATGTCTGGAGAACGATCTTGCCTTTCCCTTAAACACCTGCCATAAGGCTTATACGTTTTTATTCTTAGCATCCATTGCATCAATATGCATGATTGTATTTTTCCTAAGTCGTACCGATGATTTACTGATAAAGGTTTCTAGACAGAAATAGGTAAATAAGACCATTGTCTGCTTTTGTATATATTTATGTATTTATTTATTCATGGCTAATGATGTTCCTTAAATTAAAAAGAGGCAATACCATGCTGTAAATGCAATATGATAAATAAGGGACTTAGGTGGTAGATAAATATAAGTTAAGAAAACACTAGAGCAATCAGGCATGAAGACGCTGGAGTTGTTTTTGCAAAACTCCAAATCCCTGTCCGGTGTTTCCGGAGCAGCTTGATTGTGGGACACATCTTTTTCATTCTTGAAGCTGTACTGTATATAAACTGGAAAACCATTTAACGGAGTTTTCGCTAGTACCCTGCAGCACCACATGTTATGCTCCACCTCCTGTAGCACCACATATGGCGCAAATTTTGTGAGAAGCTTCTGCACCATCCTCGTCCGAGAATTGCTGTTCAACACCACAACCGCATCCAGCCCATACGAGCACGAACTGGTCGCTATAAGAACAGCCCAGTCCCAACCATTGTAAAAATTATCAATAACTTGTAATCAACCAGTGTATTCACTCCCAGTCACTCTTAATTTTCGCAGTCACTATGTTAAAATGCCCTGTAGTTTGAGCTTCTCCCCACCTAGTCATTATATATCATATTTGTATCACTTATGTTATCTGTATATTATTTGTAAATCAAGAGACCCATTCCCCAATTATGTAACTGTATATTTTCAGCCTTCCGTCTGCTATGCTCTTTCAATAAACCGGTAATTATTATTATTATTATTATTATCATTATCATTATTATTATTATTACACACACATTTATTGCCTTTTCCTGAGTCAAGATTCTTCTCTTTATTGTCCACTTGAAATAAGGTAATAGATGGTAACCTAACTTACCATCAACTTTTGAGATGTGTATCAGAGATGTGCTCCTACTGTTTGTATAGTGTACATTCACACCTACCCTTCCCTGGTCCTGTTTTACCCCTCGTCCTGAGTAACGAATTTTACTCCCCAGGCCCTGCTTGATTTTTGACTCCCACTTAGCCTGACCTCTCTCTACTGGCAAAACCTCCCCTTTGGAGTGACAATTTCACGCTCCAGGGATGCAGACAACGTCTTTACCCCTGCGCAAGACAAGTGTACCCCGTCACGACTGTACAGGTGGTCGTTACCATAGAATGGTCTCCAGTTATCAATGAATGCCCAACCATTGCTAACACAATGTTTTTCCAGTCGGCAATTTATAGCAGTTGCCCTGGACGGCCATTCATAGCCAATTCCTCTTCTAGGCAAGACACCACATACTATCGGGATCCCTCCCCTATCTCTAACCTTCCCCAGCGCCTCCCTATACCGCCTGAAAAGTTCCTCACTCCTAATCTTTCCTATGTCATTGCCTCCTACACTAAGACACACTACTGGCTTGGTACCCTCCCCTGACAAAACCCTATCTATCCTCTCAGCTACATGCCCTATTCCAGCCCCAGGAAAACACACCCTAGTCCTATGTGTCCTATCTCTCTCACAAAAAGTCCTATCTAAGAACCTCACCTGGCTGTCCCCAACTACCACGACCTTACCACTGGGCAGGGTTTGACCAACTGCCCTTTCCTCTCCTGCCACCACATCGTCCTGCCTCTTCTCTGCCTCGCCAGATTCCTCCAACACTTGGTAGGGGTTACTGCACTTCACACTCTGGTCAGTTTTCCTGAGTCTGACCCTAGTCCCCTTGGTGACAACCACTCTCCAGTCCTATTCCTCCTTCGTAGGTGTCCTGCTTGGCAGGACACCTACCTGAAGGAGTTCAGTCCTGAGGGCTTCGTTCTCCCCCTTTAAAACGTCCATCTCTCTCTCTCCGCAACTGCTCCAGCTGACTTAACAGAGTGGACGGGGGATGGTCATCTCTCCCCACACACCGTCCCTCTTCACCCACAACACAACGGCCCATGGTGGCCATTTTCTATGGTCACTAACACGAGCACACAGGGACACGTCCTTCTCCAAGCTAGGTCAGGTCGATACTGAGAATCTGACTTTCTGCTTCATTTAAACACAATTGCAGGGTCTCAATTGTTTCTCTTACTATTGACAACTCATCATACAGTACATATATTGTTTTTCACTTGATTTTTTTTCATAACTGCCAGTTATAAAGGAGGCAGTGTGGTCGTCACCGCCAGTCATGAAGGAGGCAGTGTGGTCGTCACTCGCCAGTCATGAAGGAGGCAGTGTGGTCGTCACCGCCAGTCATGAAGGAGGCAGTGTGGTCGTCACTGCACTCGACAGCTTTCACTTCTCCAACTTATAATTAATTTAATTCTTGATATTTTCATAAGGTTAAAAAAATACACAAAATGTTCAAAGTTCATTTGTTTATTTCATTAAATATAGAAGCAACAAATTTGATTGCTTGACTACACTAAGGAGTCGGCTTACAGTGTACTCACGGCTGCTCATGACTTAGGCTGCTGCTGCCTCAACATTGCCAAATATTTACCTTGTGTGAGCATTACTCTCACACCACAGAAAATGTCAAGCTGACAATTTTCAGCCTTAGAGACAACAATTTATTAAAAGATAAGAGTGAGATCAAAGACTAGTGCTGGCCACTGCAATGCCACTACCCGATAATACCAATCAATTCCCAAGTAATTTACATTCTTACAAAGAAAAAGACGATTATTGGTAGTGAAGCTGCAGCCTATTGCAGCATAAGTCAACTGAAATGAAATTTACTTCGCAGCCACTGGTAACTCAACAGTCTTAAGACAGCACTGGTCTGTGGACTTGCAAATTTAAAATGATACTTCACCATAGACTAAGGTTTAATACAAATAATCACATATTGAACATTAAAGTTAAAATTAAAAAAAATATATACGTATATCTTTTAATTTAAGATACATCATTCACAATTCAAGCACTGAGGTTCAATCCTGGGTGCCCAGCTGAAATTCACAGGAGTTATTATTTGAGAGAAAAACAAGGTCATCCCATGACACAGATTAATGAACTCCTCTCTTAAAAAAGGTTTCACCACATTTATAGGAAAGAGCATATTAGCTAAAAATAATAATAAATAAAATAAAATAAATATATAAGTAAGCTTATGGAATAGTTTTAAAAGTAATGTCATGACAGACTTTTAAATGGTATTCTAAATTATCATATCTTTAAAATTTATTTTAACAACAGGAACTTTCAAGGATAACTCTAAAATATAATCTGTATTTGCCTTAGATGTAACAGAGACACTTCAAAAAAGGGGAAAAATGCCATTTACAATGAGTACCCTGTAAGCTGTCTCCGCCTGTGTCCTGCACTGGTACAGTAGACACAGACCTGCACACTCACACCTTCACAACATACACCAGCTCTAGTACCGAAAACTGTACAAACAAAAGGTTCATCTGCAAAAGTGTATTTACAAAAATGTACTTTTTAATAAAAGATTTTTCCCATATATTATTTCTAAGAATTATCCATCCTTAATAAAGGTATAAATGGCAGCACAGGACAATAATGAGACTTGTGCCTCTGAGATACAAATCATCTGTATAAACCTTAACATTTAAAAGTGATGTGTTTTACAAGACATAGAATAAATCTTTGCACTTTCGAGATCAGTGCAGTGAAAATTGTTAGTAGGATCTTTCTAGGAACTTTTTCCTTGTAAACTGCTGGTAATACTAAAGAGTGGATTCGTTCATACAATACTGTTCATGTACTGAACGAGTTTGATAGCCCATCCTTGCAGGTACCAATGTAAGTACTCCCTCACACAGTGCAGGTGAACACAGTCACGTGACCCTACTAGAGGGAGCTGAGGATCACACTCCCAGCCAACAACTTAACTGCACCAACTTACTGCCTCCTCACGACTCATTCGGGGCTAATATGGAAAACTGCCAAAATTGTCTTGTGCTTGGTCATACTCTTGAGAACACCATAAAACTAGAATTCTTCGTTTAAGTAGACTCAACGTTCTGCGACTAGTAGGAAGTTTTAGATGGTCGTGAAAAATAGCAGCGGAAGGGAAGTTGTACCACTAATAATTGCACAACTTGTCAGTCACACAGCCGTTAAGTATCTCTGTTGTTTAGGGGACTCAGGGTTTTTTCTAACCCTAAAATATTCCCAAAACATTTTTATTATAAAGAAAGCCTTTGGTAAACTGTCTGAAGAAAGTTTATTTTATTTATTTTTTTTATAAAATCTTTAAAAGAAATTATATATAAATTGCTCAAAAACTGGTACACACCCCATCACAGGTAAATTGGTTGCACAACCACTGGAAAAAACAACTGTTGATTTCCTTTAGCAAAATAAATGCTCTGGCTAGATTGTCACTTCATAAACATCACGCATCTTGCAGACATTGGTAACGTTCATGGACTGATCACTTGTTGTGTCAGACATGATGTGGGCGGCTGCTAGGCGTGATGAGAGTGGCTGCAGCACCCCCACTGCTGCTGGTCACAGCAGAGACATAGGACGGCACATGGTTCACTACAAGACGCCTTGCAGCTGACTTGTTCTAAGAACCAACCATCTGTTTATTGCTATCTGTTTATGGTAGAGTTCAACAAGAAGGGAACGTACAGCATCTTTGTTTCTAATAGTTTAGCTGCAGCTGCTTGAATCTGAAACATAAATGTTTCAATTACTTACAAGTTGTTTAATTGGCAATAAAATGGTTTGATGAGTTATGATGTTGGATAAATAATAGTATCCATGATAGGTTTTCATTAGTAAGTTTGTCTAAAAAAATTAAGAAAAAGAAAACCCCAAAATAGATGTCTCCATAAATATTACTGTATACAGTACAGGTATTAAAAGTGAAACTATGGTTAACAGTTGTAGGTCTCTTACATCTGGGAGTCTGACTAGCAGGTCCTGGTATCTGGTGGGTTGAGAGGGATAGTGGGTTTCACAGAAGGACCGAAGACAATTCATGTACCGTTCCTGGATAACTTCTAGTTCTTTATGGCTAGACCGTGCTGTGGAAAAGAGAACAAAATACATATGAGAAATCCTTCAGTATAAATGAGTATTATAAGGTCACTGAATCTGCTCCATGTTATTTGATGGAATAAAAGGTTTTATCATTTTAAGTCAAGTATATTACCATAATTTGGCTCCTGAACAATACTGAATAAAATATATGTAAACTTATTCTTCCAAGATCTGTTTCCAGAAGGAAAATCTAATAGGTACAGTACTGTGGTTATCAGCATATATATATATATATATATATATATATATTCTCCTGACACATTTAAAAAAAAGATAAAACTTACTCTGGTTTAACATGGCAATGACTTTAAGGCAGACATATTCCTCAATCTGGATCTTTGTTTTGCGAAGTGCTAATGTGACATGGGTAATCTTTTCCACCATCACACCAACCTCTTGCCGTAATTGGTCCATAGTGATGGGTCTCCCCATCATTGAGTTTAGGCATGTCTGCAGTGTGCAGAGGTTGTTGGAGACCTGTAAAATGTAAAATTTTACCTTTTTTGCATTACCAAAATCATTGCCTATAACATGTATGTGAAACTAGGAGATAAAAAAGATCAAATGAATATCAAACATTGTCTACTGTATTTACAATTTATTTTACAGATGTAAATAAGTTTCACATTTACGATGGAAATGTAACCCCATACAATACTGTTACAAGGGAATATGTCAATACTCCATCAAAGGGTTTAAAGAACAGTTTCTACACTCAGTATTCCAATCCTTCTTTATAAACCCAGCAGCAACCAACAATTGGTGCATGATTCAATCCTTTTTTAGATTTTCCATCCTTATCATTTTATCACATATCTCTTTGATCTCACCACGTTTGCTATATTAAAAGAAAATGCAAATCTCTTCAGCTTTTTTTCTCTAAAATGAAACATATGGTTATATTTTCATTCTCCTTTAACACTCCCATCTTGTCATACACCTATCCCTAAATTATATGTTCACAATACAGTGCTTTACTTAATCTGCCCACCACCATTAAGATCCATACATATATTCTGATCCGGAAGACATTGAAGCCAGATAAGTCAACTTGGTATTCTATTATTTATCTTCAATACACTGTTAAAAACACCAACAATAGTTTTCTTCTTATCTCTTTATTCCCCAAAAGTCACAACAGTAAAATTTTCTTCCTGCATGTTTTTTCTACTTCATATTACCTGCAGATCCATAAGTTTTAAGGATGCAAAAACCTTTTGCCATTCTAAATCTATATTCATGTCTTCTACAGGTCTAAGGCATGGTCCATTTTAATGCGGGGCACAGAGTCAGCAGTATCTATGAATGCAACAATGGTTTTACATGATTCTCCTCTTTTTACCTTATAAGAAATAATAAACTAGAAATGTATACAGTTTGTGTTTAACCCCATCATAATATCCTTGTTTTTACCTTAATGCTTACCTCTTGATGGAACTCTGCCTCAGTGCCATCTGAAGATCTAGATGCCAGCTTCTGAAGGCCATATATGGCCTGATAGGCAGAAGTGGTGAGTACCAAGAGCTCATGCCATTTATGTGTTAGCAGCCGTGTGTGAACCTCTACAGGTAACTCCTGATAGAAGGGAAGGCGTTTGGTCCACTGCACCAACTTTATAGATATGGAGTCTCCCAACTGACATAATTTTGTTGACAAATCACTCTTGTGGTCCAACAAGTCATCTAGATTCTGAAAAAAATAAAATTATTATGATCCTTGAAAGACTAAAAGTAGGTCTGGGCAACATTACGGCTGTACCAAAAGCCTATCAAGTTCCATTCTAAATATACCACATTATTTACACCAAAAGTAACGTTATTAGTATACTGTATATATACAGGATTTATAAGGTAGAGGTTGGCTGTGTGAGGGAGAAGGGAAGACCAACGTGAGGGAGATGGATATCCAGTAAGCAGTTGTGTATGGGAGTGAAAGGATAATGTTTGTATGTACAGTACTGTATTAGCTCTTCTTTCTGGCTACCCTATGAAACAAGGTCTGAAGAAGAAATAAAATACCTCTTAATTTTCTACTCTCATTCAACTCATTCCCATATACGGTGTACTGTTATTGCAATCAATTACAGGACAGTATTCAATAAAACTAGTATTGAAATTCACACACTCCACTTAGGTAATTTTGACAGATTACTGTGTAAGAAAGTATAAGACAAAAACGGCAATAAATACAAAGATAGAAAGGAAATCTCAATGGTAACAATAATTAGGTCATCTTATGAAAGGTAAATTGAATGATAGGAAATCTGAGTGTGGCAAAAAATCAGAATCCCTCTAAAAATAAATACTGGCAAATTTACCTTCAGTGTGGCAATGTCTTCAAAATCATCACATTCTATTAGCATCCGAATCATTGCTTGGGCAACAGGATAGGGCATGGTGCGCTCTCTCGTTGAACTCACTGTGTTGTCCAACCTCTGCCGGAAGTGGGCCACCTGGAGAGAGGACACATCATGATGATAACTACTCTTAATTTTTATCCAGCAACTGTACTATAAACTAAGTATATCTGTCCTTGCCTTCCTATTAATACTGAATTTTTAATCTTCAAAAGTCAAACTTCATTTACAAGTGGAAAAAAATTACCTCAGAAGGATTTGTGAGAGCTGCTTTTAGAATGGGTCCACTGTTGAGGCCACTTGGGATGGGCGACGTAATAGGTGGGGATGTGAGGGGGCTAGAGATGGGCATGGGTAAAGATGGGCTTGTGAGGGATGTTGTTCCGGGCATCATAAGTGGATCCAGAACCATTTTCTTCTCTGGAGAATTACCTCCTTGTTTTATTTGACCATTCTTTTTGTTCTTCTTTTTGTACTTTACCTATGGAGAAAATAAAGTTAAAGCATGTGGTTAACCAGTGAGCTTTATAATAAAGCTGGTGATAAGTCTTTATCTCTAATAAATATTGGTAATATCAATACATTTTGAAAATTATTATACGTTCAGTAAAATATAATAAAGTAGTGAGAGATGTAAGAAATGAATGTAATCCATTTATTTATATGTGATTAAAATGTGAAAAAAAGCGTTTTTTAAACCCTTCAATATTAACCTGAACCCCACCACTATCAACAGGGCATATCACTATCTAGTGCTCCATGCAGTGCCACACTTGAAGCTTTGCAGTTTTGGTGGGTGATTTACCATTAAAAGATCCCTTGCCCTCTCAGTTGCTTGTTTTATAAAACACGTTTAAGATAAATTTTCACTAAAGATCATTTCAAGTAAAACACACAAACAAAATCTTTTACTGACAACTACAAACATCATCCAAAGATTCCCAAATATGTAAAGATAGACAAATTACAGTAGAACTTTGATTATGGGCGATTTGGTTCAATACAGTGTACGGCATGAATACTTTTAGCTTAATGTGTAACCAAAGGAAGACAGTTCTTCTAATATCTCCATCAGACCACATCAATAGCACATTATATATACTGTATTTATCAAAATTCTACAGTAACACTCAAAAAAGAATTATCTTTAAAACACTAGCTCTTCTATAGTTAACAGTGATACATTACTACTGTACTGTATTTTGTGAACAATGAATCATTCCGTTCCTAATATAGTATCTGTAAGCCTTGTAAAACATTTATCATGAAAATAGCTTGGTGCTTCCATGCTGAGAAAAACATTGATAGTGTTCTCTCTGGTGTGGAAAAGATTGGAACAGTAACTTGCAACACTTCCAGGCATTTTTCATTAGTTTTACACTCTTGATCACAATGAGGTTGTGGTAAAGGCTCCGTGGGATTCCAAAAACATAAGTCTCGTCACAGACTCACAGGACTTTTATATTATTAAAAATTATGAGTATTTTCAGATAGCACTAAATTTACAGAAGGGGTTATCAAAGGTAATGGACTTAGAAAATACTGTACTGTGATGGAGTATATATGACCCCAAACCCCAGTGGCCAGTTCAATCTCGCACTTGCTGCCAGATATTCCCAAAATTTCCATTTACATAAACCTTTAATAAAATATACTCAAACTGTTTTAATAATGTCATATAGCACACATTATCATTTTTGGATGTCACATTTCCCTTTGAAATATGATAGTGTGGCTAATGTTCCTGGTTACGACAGGAGAATTAAAAAAATTTCCCCAAATCTTGCTTAAATTTTTGGTAAAATTTTAGTGTCGGTCATGTAGCGAGTTTTAGGATTTTAATTTCTGGAAACAGCAGTTTAGACAATTCTAAGACACTTTTCTTCTATAGCGTTTCTGTCGGAAATTTATGTTTTAATAGTATTTTAATTGATAAAATTGCCAAAAATATTACTTGTTTAAAATGGGCAGAGGTTTGAAGTAGAGGAAAATGTGGGGTAAAATACTGAACTAAACACAAAACAAACCTTTGAAAATCTGACCTAATGTTTCCTAACCTTAAAAAAATCATAAAACAAAAAAACAAACAAAGAGTTTTCCTTATTCACGTTTTCGGTGTTTAGTAGGTGATGGTGTTGTTTGCGATGTTAAGTATGTGTTGGTGTTGTTTTCGCTGTTCAGATGAGGAGAGATCCATAAACTCGAGAGTAATTCATCACATTTTTACAAGTTAGGAAAGTTTAGGTAAGTTTTTCAAAAGTTTGTTTGGTGTTTTCTTAGTATTTCACCCAACATTTTTCCTCTACTTCAAACCTCTGCCCATTTTAAACAAGTAATATTTTTGGTAATTTTATCAATTAAAATACTATTAAAACATAAATTTCCGACAGAAACGCTATAGAAGAAAAGTGTCTTGTAATTGTCTAAACTACTGATCTCAAAACCTAAAATTCGCTACATGACCGAAACTATAATACCAAAATTTAAATCTCACTTTATATTCTGGCCATCCAGGTTTATGAGAGAACACTAATTAACGTAACTCTCTAATGGAAATAATCAGATATACTGTACAAGTACATTTTATATGAAACTCCCACATATGAGACATAAAGAGGTCATGCAAGTGGGACAACAAACACTAACATTACTGTATAATCATACCACAATGAACATAAAAGTGAATTGTGAAGCATGAAAAGCCATAGATGAAGAGCGTGCTAGGCTGCTGTCGCCTTACCTCCTTCCATTTTAGTGTTTAAGCTCTATTGTTAACAAGATGTACACCCTCACCATTAAGTCCTTTTGCTTGCTTGTACCTCACACCTACAAGAAACCAACCACTGGCTCCAAGGATTAGTTGGAATAGTTCTTGCAACAAACCAGATACAGTACACAGTTCATATCAGGATGCAGGCTACTGTCCATTACACTAATAAATTATTAAAAAGTCCATATAATCACACGTGATATTGTCAGTTCTATTACTTTACCATATATAATAATGAAAAATTAAATGCAATATTGACAATGTCTCATCATGTATTAATGTACAATTTTAAATTTTCCATTTGTTTTCACATTTTTCGGATGTAGAATCACAACACAATCAGTCATATCCCTTCTGGATACATGGGTGATCTTGCTATTTTCTGCATTCATCTTGATATATCAATACATCTTGTTGCCTTCAAGTATATATCAAGTTACTGAGGATGGAATGAAACAAATAACTTACAAAATGGTAGTGAAACTAGATTACCTGGTGAAGTGATGGTATCATTGCAAGGCAGTGGCCATAAGACTTACCTTATACAGGTTATAAACTGCTCCTGAATTTCGACCACCAGGCATCCGGTCCTCTCTCACAGCTGTAGATGTAAGGAACTTTGATCAACAGACTGTAATGCATGATTTATATTTAGTATTGTAATTATATTATTTCATTTACCATAGTGAAATTAATTAATGGAAATGTTTGTTTCAGTGAGGATTATATGGGTCTTACACACAAGAAAGGCTGTATTTGTTTTGATCAAAGGCATGATTCCTTATTATTGCACACAAAATTAACAGAATATTACATACCAGCAAGCACCATGCCTTGACGCAGGCACTTTTGAAACCGACAATACTGGCAACGGTTACGTTGTGCTTTGGTGATTTCACAGTCTCCGTCAGCAACACACGTGTATACCCGCTTATTCTGTACTGTTCTCTTGAAAAATCCTTTGCATCTGTAATTGAAAGTCATTCTGTTATAAATACTCAATTAAAGGCACAAATATTCAGAATCACAAACACTGTACTGTACTGTTATTCCTAGTACAGTATTGTACAGAAACTTATAGCTATAGTTTTTATACCCACATACATATCCAGGTTTGTGCTCTCAAAACGGGGCTTAAAGTTTTATCGGTATATATATATATATATATATATATATATATATATATATATATATATATATATATATATATATATATATATATATATATATATATATATATATGTGTGTGTGTGTGTGTGTGTGTGTCAGAGAATACAGTGAAATGAAATTCTTACCCTTCACAAGTGATGATACCGTAGTGAAGTCCGGTGGCACGATCCTCACAGATCATACATATCATGGGCTGGTCCTCCTCATCTTCTTCAACAGGTGTGGGTTGAGCAGGAGCAGTGACTACACTCTCAATACTATTAGTGCGGGCACCCCACATCCCGACTGTAGATAAGTTAAGAGCTGCTGGAGAATCTGGTTGAGTGTGAGGCAACTGAGTACGATCTCCTGCCCATAATCGTTCCATGTTTAGGGGAGTGGATGGATGACGTTGACTATCAACACTGGTGGGTGAGTGTATATAAGATGTATTATGTAATAGCTGAAGATCTCCACTACTCTGTGGCGACCCTAAGCATCGTACCACCTGGTAACCTGGTGAGGATGGTGCTACTGTGTACGGGGAACGAGCAATAGGGGTATGAGTGTGTGGAGATCTTGCACTGTGAGTTATTGGAGAACGGGCAGCTGGAGAGAGAGAAAGAGTACTAGTGGGAGAGAGTTGGGGAGGAGACCCTCTTCTGTCCTGACCTAATGTCAATAGACCATCTACTGAGGCACGCACTGCGTCACTAGTATCTGCTCCATAAGCACAGGGAGTAGCTGGTTGAGTAAGCACTTCCCGTTGTGCTTGTGATGCAGATGTCTGTGTTTCACTCGGTGTTGACCAGAACATTGTTTTAACACCACCAGCTTCCCCCATTATAACAGTGGGTGTACGAAGACGAGGAGAATAACCAGCTCTACTAGAATCTGCAGGAGCAGCTGATGGAACATTTGTAGATTGTGTAGGCTGTACCATGCCACCACTGATGAACTCTGGTCGCATACCATTAATACGACTGGCTCCTCCACCCCAATATGGTTGTGCTACACTGACAGGTGGTCCACAACGCAGTCCTGCCGAGGTCACTATTCCCGGTGAAAGGCCCGCCACTGAGACAGAGAGTGTGTGTGGCATGGTACTTAACGGTGGTCCTAGGGACACCAATGGAGGCGGAAGTGGTGTTCCTATTGACACTGATGTAATTTCTGGAGGATGTTCACTAGTGTCAGGTGGGGGTGGAGTAGTGGACATACGCTCAGGCATGTCAGTGTCCTCGCACTTCTGGACAGGGTGCAGAGCAGAGTCTGCTGCTGATGGTCTTGGCATGGCCGAGGAGGATACCGGTTGGCGTCCACCACCATCAAACACATGGGCATCTTGAGTGTCATCATCTTGGCCACAATCTAAGCAGCTTTTAACTTCTCCAAATTCACCACCCGCACTATCTGGAGATGCTCTGAAAAAAGAAACACATATGAACAAAAATAATCTACAAACAACATGGTTGTCTAATGTAAGCTCATTTAGTTAAAACTGAATTTAATTGTCTAGACTCTGGATAGGCTACCTCTCGTGGATGTGTGGGCGGGGGTTTGGTGATGACCGGGGTGATTCTGAGGGTAAGTATGATGCCGGAGGCTGAACTGGGCTGCAGGAGGATGTTTCTCCACCTGACGACCCAGAGTCCGGGGAGCAAGACGAAGTCTCAGCCAAGCTTTCCCCGTCACTGCTGCACCTATAGACAGTCCAGATTTGCTTACACAAGACACCAGAAATTCTTATAAATAGGGCCACTTCAGTAAGGTAAGGGATACAACACCTGATCCATTCCCTAAAACGTCAATGATAGTGTTCTATATTTTGACTTAAACCGAGGAGCTCAAAGGCAGAATGTATGTACACCAGAATATTGTGGAAGGCAGGATGGTCTTTCGCGATATACAGTATATCACATACCCATGATGGTTCCCTTCCTCATACGCCAAAATTTAAGTAACTGAAATCTGGCTACATCACTCCCTAGAGTTTCACGATGCTGTGTCAACTGAGTCTTGTGTATCACGAATTAATCATCAAAACACCAGACAGTATATTATAAAGTAGAGCGATTTTTCTTGTATTTTTTATACACACACACATGTGATTTTTTGTCATTTAGGGATAACCTTTTTGTTGCCATTGTTAAAACTTAATGGAAATTAAATCGTTTATGATAAAACTTAATGTTTCATTTAAGACGTCGCTTACCACCATAAGGTCGCCAAATTATACCTTAAGTAGGTTAGGTAAGGTTATCTATGAAATAATTAATTTATATGTATTATTATTATTATATACGTTATCGTGTATGATCAGTGAGAAGACTCTGAACAGGGCACAAGATCCACACGAGGGGATATAATGATTCTGAACGCGTGATGAGTACTACAAGACTATAGAGAGGATGAGTACTACAAGACTATAGAGAGGATGAGTACTACAAGACTATAGAGAGGATGAGTACTACAAGACTATAGAGAGGATGAGTACTACAAGACTATAGAGAGGATGAGTACTACAAGACTATAGAGAGGATGAGTACTACAAGACTATAGAGAGGATGAGTACTACAAGACTATAGAGAGGATAAGTACTACAAGACTATAGAGAGGATGAGTACTACAAGACTATAGAGAGGATGAGTACTACAAGACTATAGAGAGGATGAGTACTACAAGACTATAGAGAGGATGAGTACTACAAGACTATAGAGAGGATGAGTACTACAAGACTATTCCACAAGAACAAAGCTCTACTACAGAGGATGAGCTCTTAAGAGGCCTAGCAGCAGAGTTCTACGTGAGAAGCTGAGCTCTACACGAAAAACTGAGTTCTCTAGAGACTAAACTCTCAAGAAAGCTGAGCTCTACAGAACCAGAGGATACCAAAATCTTACCGGGAGTCGACCTTTCGGCGCTTGAGCTTCAGGTCCTGGAAGAGGCTCATTTTGACGCCCTCACACTGGAGCAACGTGACCGTCATAATTCCTGAAAACAACAGAAAAACAGTTAGTTTTCATATTCAATTACTCCTTAAACATCATATATATTAAACAAAAGGGAAAAACTGTCAACATAACTGAAATATAAACTAAGTGATGACGATGTAACTCTATATGAGAACATGAGGGTGAGTAATTGACCCAAGGAGCCTCAACGAATAAAGGTTCGAGTCCTTGAGTAAATTCAACTGAAGTAATACGGATAACCTAAGAGAAGGAGACGCCACACTTACAAACATGCATACGTGTGTGTCCACCACCATTGATAATGACTTATATTACTGCTGCTGCATTGTAAACACACACACACACACACACACACACACACACACACACACACACACACACACACACACACACACACACACACACACACACACACACACACACACACACGTTCACTTCAGACATTATCATAGTAAAAATATCTCGTTCTAGCTGATGATATTTCAGGTAGTTGTTGTAGTTAATGTTTTACTACTGACTTAAACATTTAAGTAATTACGGTACTATGCGGTATTTCCAGACCGTATAGGAGTACTTGTAACAGTAGCTTCGTATAACTGACAACAGGAACTTACTGTCAGGTGTACAGTTTAATTTCCTGTTGTTTTTATTTATCAACTTTACTTCCTTCTTGCAAACAGTTAACAGTTATTCGTCAATCTTTCGTTACTAAGCAAATTGATCTAAAAATTCGAAGGTATGTTATTTATATGAATCGGCCAGACACCTCTGTTAGTGGGAGAGGGGACATTTTTTATATTATTATGGGGTGAAAAGTGTAATCCCCAAAAGACAAATGTAGAGTAGCTGTTCTGTCATATGTAAAGCAATTAACATGAAAGATAACGTAAGCAAAAAAATTATATAAGTGCATTTTTGGTAATTCTAAAGGCCCTTGGATCAAAAAGTCATATTTATAACCATATTCTTGTTTATATATATATATTTCAGGATTAATAATGTAATAAATTAAAGAAGGAGATTATTTTTCTTCATTTAAATTCTGTATATTATCTTTTTCTTTTAACTTTCCTTAAGATTTTAGCTTCTCTTTTCTTCAGGCCGCATCAACATAACATTACATAAGCACAGTTACACTTTCTCATGTTACAGGTCTAATATACGCAGAAGATCTCTCCTGCAACCCATTTAAAGGAGAGATACTTGAACTGTTCTTGCTAATGGTGCTGTGACAGGCAAGGGGCAGGAGATACCAGCCTTCTCTTCATTATTTGGCAAGTCTATTTTTTTTATTCACTCCAATACAATTACTAGATTATGGGTAAGATTTAATGGGAAGATATGGTATACTTATGACTCTTATTTCAACATAAGAACGGTGTGGATGAGGCGGCAGTCAGCGTGTTTAAACCTTACCCTGACACCTTAACGCTCACCCACACACCATCCCCATCAGGCTTCCTAACTCGTCAAGCCTTTTTTCTCTTAATATACATACAAAGGTAGGAACACCATATTAATGTGCTTCCAGTGCGGGGTATTTTATAAGTGTCCATGAAAGTATTTATTAACAAATATTTAAGGAAGATTCAAGACACAACGAGTTTAAACTCTTGAGTGTATGTGGTGAGTCGGCGAAGTTGCTAGCTGACACACGAGACTTTACTTGAAACATTATAGTTATCAAAGATTACATCTGTGTAAACGAGTTATATTACAGTTCAGTGCCAAGTAACAAGCGCTTATTGTTCTAAAATTCAATTACTGTACTTTTCATGTTTTCTATCTTGTAGCATGTAACTAGCTTAGTCACAAGAAAAACTCTGGTGCCACCAATAACATCCTTGGCTCTAGACTACAGCTAAATGGCAAGTCTTTGTTACCACCGACGACAGGGAGACAGTTATTATACAAAAACTTAACAAAGACTGTTGACTCATGACCGTAGTAGTCCTCATAAACCCACACAAAGACCACCCAGTCCCTCTTAGTGTACTCATAACCAACCCAAATACTCTTAATTATATGTACACCAAACTATAATTATATTTGATCTTAAATGAACAAAAGAAACTGGTTCTTCGGTAAAGGAGTCAAATAAAAAAAAACAATAATTAACCCGGCAACGATTAGTAGGCCTTCCTGGTCGAGCAAACTGGACTCTGAGCTGAATTTTGAAATTTGACTTTAACATCGTCTCCCACTGTCTAGCTGGGTGTACCACGACCTGTCCCTCACCTCTCACCCACGTCCCACACCACTACCTATATAATGTCATTCCACCTCAATCATCATTCTCCCTACATATCTCCTCATCATTTGAACTTTCTTAAGCAACGTCTTACATATCTGTTTCAGTTTTCACTCTACCGCCTTCATTTATCACTACATCATTGTCCTGTTTTTATATCTTAGTCTTGAAATAGTCACATAACCCAAAGATGAAAACTCATTAAAAATGTTTTGTATTTACGTGTGGCAGAGCTCAGTGTACCCCGGAATCCGACCGTAAATGTAAGCGATGAAAGTGTGAGTGAGAGGACAGAGGAGAGGCGTGGGGAGAGAGTGAGGACGCTGATGTTGCGGCGTGGTTGGCATGTGATCACTTCCTGTGAGCCCCACGCCATCCTCAGAGTTCAGCCCGCCCAGCTGCATCGCCCCGCCCACACTTGCGCCCACGGCTCTTTCCGAGAAATGCTACCACTATCTACTCCACACATATGTAGTTGAATCATTATTAATATGTGTCTTGGTCTCAATATACTTGTTTGTTGAGACAATTTGTATAATCACTTTACACAGTATATAGAATTTTTTTTTAATTTATGTTTCGCTTTTTTATAATATACTCGTATACCACTGCGGGATAAACCTTAAAATCTCCCTATTTCATCCTTCTGTTGGTTACAATCCAGTCGTCACAAATACCGTCCCTTCCTAACTTGGCTAATGGATGTTTATCGTGCTTGAGGGATGTTCTCTGACGTGCATCACAACCCAGCCAAGGACCAAATCTTAGTCACTTTTGTTTTTACTCCGACATCTTCCCCTACATACGCTGAGACCACCACGCTTGCTGAGTGACCGCTAACTTTACTTACACTACAATAATTCCTATTTAATATGCTTTCTTTCCCATACAAGGAAGTTCCTCCTACAGATGTGTTTCATTAAGCTGGGAATACATTTATCAATAATAAATGGAACGATAGAAGATTCCTACTGATAATAGTAATAGTGATAACATTTAAGGTAACAATAATAGCAGATCTATTTATTATCCTCATGAAGCAATATATTCTTCCATGTCTACTTTCCTTGCTATTATTACTATTAGTCTTGTTACTATTCCCATTTTATCTTCTCATCATCACTGCCGAGGGAAAAGAACAAATTGTAATCGTGCTGTTTTGACCGGATGATGTTGTTCACTTTGGTACTGAGGCACAGCTGTGTTGTGGAGGAGATACCCTAACTCTTATTGTAATCACACACACACACACACACACACGTAGGGGCATAATAACTCTTTTCCTTGATAATTTAAGCTGTGGCCTTTACCTCTGACCTTCCGACCTTAAAACAATGGTAGATCTAGGGTGTATAATAGAATGTTCAGTATGAGCAACATTTTTTCTCCCCCGCTGCTGAGACAGTGTTCCAGGGCGCCACCTGCCGCATCGTGGTGCTTTTTTAATGTGGTGACCTTTACCTTTGACCTTTGACCCTATCACCATAGCAGCTCTCGGCGTTGTCAGATATACTGTAAATATACACGCACACACACACACACACACACAGACACACACACACATACACACACACACACACACACACACACACACACACCACTGTACTGTATATTTAACACAGCTGGGACTGTAAATCTTTCCGCTCGTGAATTATGATCTGATACGTATGATACACAGACTGTTAATTAAGTACGTACGGTAGATAGAGTGCTCTCCCCTCACCCGAGAGACTGCAGCCACTGCCCCGAATATGAACTAACTAACAGATAAGAGAACAACACCTCAACCATCAACATCTCAGCGGGTGGAAAAACACACATCACTTCCTGACCGTCGCTCTCACCTTGAGCTAAAAGTCACGGTCACCTGCACTCCCTCACCGACGTGTGGGAATAAAAAGTGGCGATATAGAGAGTGAGAGTGGGGGGAGGGAGGCTAGGGGGCTAAGAGTGGGGGAGGGGGCTAGGTGGGGGAGGGGGCTAGAGTGGGGGAGGGGCTAGAGTGAGGGGAGAGGTGTGTGTGTGGGAGGGGGCTGGAAGTGAGTTAGAGGGCGAGTGGGAGGAAGGGTTAGTGGGAGGGTGGGAGTGTGAGTGGGTGAGTGGGAGCATATGAGGGGATGTGGGAGTGTGGGAGTACACGTTGCGGGGAGAGAGTGAAAATTTCTATGGAAGAGAGTCAAGCAGTAAGTATAGGGTGGATGAGACGGACTACAATACTGGGAAGTGGCCATTGTCCTGGCTGGCTGTGTGGGTGAGTGGAGTGTACCGGGGGCTGGGGGTAAGATGGACGCCTCCACACATGATTATTAATAATGAAGACACAATCTACATATTATTTGATTAACGTGTAGTGGAGAAAAAAAGTGTGTGTGTGTGTGTGTGTGTGTGTGTGTGTGTGTGTGTGTGTGTGTGTGTGTGTGTGTGTGTGTGTGTGTAAAACATCTGTCCCAGTGACTAAAACTGATAACTATGTCAAAAGAGAATCTTAAGACGGAAATAAAGAAGTTACCATTTTATCACCCGCCTATAATAAAAAAAAGTTTAAAACATCCACTAATAAGAACTTTGGATTGGACGAAGGGTCGAAAAATGCATCATGCTGTTATGATGTTAATTGCTGCTCTTCAACAACGAAGGTCTTTAAGCAAGGTTAGTAACACACTAGTCTAACAACGATAAAAATTATGAGCGATTGAACTGTCTGTTAGCATATCAGTATGTCTCTGTGTATGAGTGGTGGTGGGCATGAAAGACAGTTAGATGTGTGT